GCCGGCCCGGTGGTGGGAGCTGCCCGGCAGCCCAGCCCGGCCTGGTGGTGGGAGCTGCCCGGCAGCCCAGCCCGGTCTGCTGGTGGGAGCTACCCGGCAGCCCAACCCGGTCCCGTGGTGGGAGCTGTCCGGCACCCCAGCCCGGCCCGGCGGTGGGAGGTGCCCGGCAGCCCAACCCGGCCCCGTGGTGGGAGCTGCCCGGCGGCCCAGCCCGGCCTGGTGGTGGGAGGTGCCCGGCACCCCAGCCCGGCCTGGTGGTGGGAGCTGATCAGCAGTCCAGCCCGGCCTGGCGGTGGGAGGTACCAGGCAGCCCAGCCCGGTCTGGCAGTGTCAGCACAGCTGCGCCCCATGTCAACGTCACTGGAGAGCTCAGCGGCCAGTGGTGGCAATGCTGCCTCATGTTCAGACACGCGCGCAGATGTCGCTGGAGCTGGCACTGTCGCGTCAGCGCGCATCTATCATGAAGCCGCCATGTGCGATGGTGAAAATAGTGTGGATGTGCGTTGCGTGATGACACCCTGGGCGCGGAGCGCCAACACTGCCCATGACGATGAGCGCCGACTCTCGAGTGAAGGGGAGGGTGCCGACTGCCAGCGGCGGGCGGCGCCGCCACTCGCCCCCCAGTGAGCGGGGCGTCTCGTGCACAGGAGCTCGTCGCCAGCGGCAGCGGGCAGCGGGGCCACCTCTGGCTGGTGGTGACAGCAGCGCCGGTCACGCCGTGGACACACCACCGCTAACGACTAGTTTGCGTGCGCTGCCTGGTGTGCCTTCCCCATCCAGCCAAAACAGCTGAACACACGACCGCCAAACGGCTCGCGCTGCCGGCGCCACAGCGTGGAGGTGGAGCGGGCAGCATGGACGTGTTAACGGGGTTCTGATGGGAATCGCAACAAAAAGGTTATCATGCGTCCTATGTTGATTCGGCGATAATTATCCATTGGATCCGCAAGCCTGCTGTCTACAGGCACTGAAGTTGCAGCTTCACGTGGGTAAAAAAGACACATTTCACGTGGGTCCATACTTGCAAGCTGAATGTCACTGGCACTGCTAATTGTCCAACCAAATCGCCTATGGTCACGGTAACTTGAAATGCCCAATACGATCCGCTGCTTTGGGTTCTCTGGTTCTTTTTAATATGTCAGACGTGTTTACTGCTTTATCAGAGTATGGAGATGCCGTCATGGGGGCACCGTCCGGACTCTTCTCTCTTCTTTCTATCTCTCTTACCCGTATCTCTCCCTTTCCCTCCCTGCCTCTGTCGTTCGCCGCGTGTGATTGGCGTGCGCCGGGCAGCGCGGCCTCCAGGTGGGTCCGATCGTCGGCCAGCAGCGCCCTCTGATGGTGCCGACCTGTCAGCCAAGACAGAGAGCGCCCATTGTCGCCGACCCGCGCCTGCAATGAAGCCAGCTTCAATTACGCCAGCCGCTTCCGCCGGCGCAGCGCCTGGCGGACGTTAATGTGCGGTTGAGATGTTTTGCTCGCCGCAGAGTCGGAACGGCGACGGACCAGTTAATGCTGGCAATCATGGGTGCATAATGTAATACGGCGGCTGAAAACGGCGGCCGCACCAACCGGCTCTCAAGTCGGCCTTATTTAAACAATTCATCGGCTTAAATGTACTTGCACGCGCTGCGCTTTGCAGTCAGCTTTCCTCGGCATTGTGCTTTCGTGGCAGCTGACGAAGGACCTGCTGCGCTCTCCTGCAGTCGTGGTGCCATGCCTGTGGAGCTGTTTTGGGCGCAGCCAGCGCCGGGTGATCGCCAGTTCCGGCTGCGCACGCCGCCTTCAACAACGTCTACTGCTCGGTCTATCCTCCTCATTGATACCCCGAGATAAGCTGTCGGCAATACCGAGCCTAAAACAGCGTAACTAAGCGCTCAGTCTCGGTCGCGGCCGTAACTGAGCGGCTTACGGGCCCCACGCTGAATGTGCACAACAGGCGCCCCTCTCGGCTGCCCGCTCCCGGCCGGCCGGCACAGCCAAGTGAAAACGTGTCACATCCATCTGGCGCGCCCGGCGCCGGCCGGCCGCCACCCCTTTTGTGCGCGCCTCGGTTCACGCTGGTCAGTTCACATCGCCCAATCCTGTTTAGCGGCTCTCCTGGTCTCCAGCGGGCGGCGGCGCACACCGCGGCGGGCATTGTGACGCCGCGTCCCAGCGCGCAAAGCCTCTCAGCCGACACTCGATAGCGCCCTCCACAAAGCAATGGAGGTATCACCGCTTGTCAGCGGCCGACTATCATGGGATGATAATGCGCTATTATGCGGCGGCGGCCGGGCCGGGCCGGGCCGCGCGATTCACGCCCCGCCGCCCGGATTAAAATAGCGCCGCGTCCGCGGTCGGCCGGCGCGGGCGGGGAAGGCGTGCGGCCGAGCCCTAAGCGGATTCCGTCGACGGAGCGGCGTCGGCCCGACCTGCCAGGGCACCGGAAGCGATCCCGCTGCGAGGCGGACCCGACCAGTCCGCCGTCCGCTGCCCGCCGCCCGCCGCCCGCTGGCCGTGATCGGCAGCGGCTTCTGCCGCCTCGCCAGCTGTCTCCGGGCGTGTAATTACCGCCTCCGCGCGGTGCCGGGTGTCCGCCCCGCCGCACGCGGCGCCGCGGGGCTCCTCGGTCATAATTCGCGTCTTAGTGACACGTGACATGACCAGGCGCGGCGACCGGGTCGATCATCGCCCGCTCGTCCCGCCTCGGGGGGCGCCCGGCCGCACAGGGTGGCCGCGGCGGCGGCGTCCGCACGGCTGGCCTGCGCGCCGGCGGCCACCCTGTACCGATCCGTTGGGCAAATTCCGTCTATTTAGCACCAGAAATGACGGAGGGGTGACCAGGTGCTGTCATCGGGGAGGGGGCGGCGAGGGGTGAGCGAGAGGAAGAACCCCCGCTGCCGTGTACATGTTGTTCGAGGGATTAGCTCACGCTTGCTGCACGGTTAAATCGCCGCGGTGGTGTTATGTAAAACTGAGTCGCTTGTATGCACCAACTGGTAAGGAGCACCACGTGCACAACTCCTCTGTCTTCTGCCTCGTGATGATCAGTAGATTAGTTCCGCACGAACATCTCGTCTCACCTTTTCCCTGCGGTTGCACGTACCGTCCCTTCATAAGTCCTGCGCGATCCTCGACTGCACTTCGCAGCTGATGCCTTGGCGACATTCCGTACTTCGTGCCCGCACTAACCGTCCTTTTCAATAGGTTTATTGTCACATAACTATAACTATGTCTATAACCATATGCATTGCGAATATATACAATATCCAGTATCCACACCGACCACGCATACGGCACATAAATAACACTCACAATATCGTGCGAAGGCAGAGGCCTCAGGCTGGGAACGCGGACTAGGGGCGGGTGCGGGCCACTTATTACACCACCGCGAGAGAAAACAAAACAGAACTCGCGCCGACGCCGGCGCGCCGCCAACAGAATAATAATCCGGCCTTCCATAGGAACGGAGCTGACAACGTACAATTGCAAATGAGTACAACGATCGGCGGAGGAGGGCCGCTCCTCACCGTAACACGGAAAACGCAATCAAATTACCGACCGACGCTTACTGAGTGGAAATTGCAATGCCTCATAGGTAATGGGCCGAAACAATACCAGCCGCAAGTATATCGGTGACGAAAGGTCTGAGCGGCCTAAAACAATGACCTTTTACGATCCGCTCCCCAAAGTCAGCCGATATGAAATGAGTCGCAGGTGATACGAACAGAAAATACCGCATGTGCCAAGCACCAGGATTCATTCGGATGCTGCCAGTCACACGGCCGATGACGCAAACAGCATTAATGACGTCATCAAACCGGTCGGCGGGCAGAAAGCCGGAGAGAGAGAGGGGGAGAGGGAGAGAGAGAGCTTCTGGCTAACACACAACATCCAGTTCCGGCACGGGGCCGAGCGAGCGCAGAAGGCGGCCGCCCCGGCGCCCGGCTGGCCCCCCGCACCCTGGCGCCGCCACAGCACGGCACCGGGCGCTCGCTCCGGTATCACATGAAAACGCTCGTAACGATCCACCGAGCAACAGTCGCGTGCGGCTCCGGCAGAGAGAGAGAGAGAGAGAGAGAGAGAGAGAGAGAGAGAGAGAGAGAGAGAGAGAGGGAGAGAGAGAGAGAGAGAGAGAGAGAGGAGAGAGAGAGAGAGAGAGAGAGAGGGAGGGAGAGAGAGAGGGAGGGGGAGGGAGAGGCGCGCGGCAGGGCGCCGCTGGCTGTGCGGTAGAGGTCGGGCGCGCAACGTGGCCGCGTCAGTTCGCCGACAGCTGATGACCGACGGAACCGGAGCGATTTCGCGCCACAGAGCGCAGACGCATAGCGCAGCGATAATTTGTCTGGCTTGTAAGTGTTATATTGCCATATGGCCGTGGAGCTAATGCACTTCAACGCAGGAGATGGGCCGCGCATCAATGAAATTAAGAGGGCACTGTATTTCAGCGGCGGAAAGCGTGAGAACTCCGCCTATTCAGTTCGTGCGAGAATGCTACTTTTGGCCATTCATTATGTTTATGTTTAAAGCGGTCGGGATAGGATCAGTGTTCTCGCAGATCGTCTGAGATTCTACATATCTAACAAAACAGCTCCGAATATACCCTTACCCCGTCACTGACGCTTCGATGCAGATCTTGCGGCAACAGCGTGCCATTTGTTATCAGTATTGAAACAACCAGCATCTCTCAACAGGAACACCTCTGTTCGTTTTCGCCCTCGGCGGCGCAGCGTTCAGATTGCAACTTGCTAACCGGGCTCCGGAGTCCGCCGTGAGTTCACAATCGACTCGAGGAATCCCTCAGCGGATTCCTTGAGTTTCGCTCACACGATCCGAGAGCCGCCCCAAACCCTGGAGTCCGCGAGGCCGACGCGGGAGTTGGAGAGCGGCCGCGGGAGCCCGTCCGTCAGCCGGCCTCGGCCGCTCCGCCGGAGGGGTCCGCAGGCTCCCGAGTCCGCGGCGGCGCCGCCGGCTGCGGGCGGGCCTCAGTCCGCGGCGTCGGCAGGCCGCCCGTGGCCAGGTCAGGAGCGCGGCTCGTGGGGCGCCCCCGGCGGCGGCTGGAAGGCGTGATGCGCGCCCGGGAACATCAGATGGTGCGAGAGCAGGCCCAGCTGCGGCGCAAACGGCAGCGGCGCGTGCAGACCGAGCGCGTGCGATCCGGCGCCGAAGCCCAGCATCGACGGCCCGAACGGGAACGGATGCGCCAGCGAGATGGGTGGGTACGGGAAGCGGGGCAGCGTGAGGACGGGCGCCTCGGCCGCCGGCTTGGAGACGGGCGGCGACTCGGCGCCGCCGCCGCCGCCCCCTCCGCCGGCGTCGGCACCGGCCGGCGAGGTCACGTTCAGGTCGGGCGAGCTGGTGGGCGTGGCGCGCGGCGAGGCGCAGCCCTCGGGCGTGTCCTGGTCGGAGCGCGCGCTCATGTCGAGCTCGTCGTCGGTGTCGGCGTCGGCGGGCGGCGGGGAGGACGGCGACTCGGAACGGAGGCGCCGCGCCGCCGCCGACTCGTCGCCGGACGCGGCCGACTCGGCGCGCTCCGGCGCCGCCGCCAGCCCGCTCGGCTTGTACTGCTGGCTGTTCATCCTGCAACAGCGGGCACGGCCGTCAGCACGGGAATGCGGCGGGGTTGGTCGCAGCCGCGGCGTCAACGAGCGTTATGGCGATATGACACGAGCGCTACACTGAGGAGGCGGATGGTGGGAGAAGCATTCCTTAACCACTGCCCAAAGTATATTTACAGCCCATTGTCTCATGGTCTGCCCATTACATTTGCAAGGGAGTCCATGCACATTATTTAATATGTTCAACGTGGTCGGTGAGAGCAGTTGCTGTCGGCACATGCTTATAGAAATGGTACATTAAGTAAATGCAAAGGCGCGTTGGCGTTGTAATTGGGCTGCAATATTTGTGGTCTTCACGACGTCAGAAAATATCCAACTTCCGCGCAATTACCATAAGCTACTCATGCTACATTATGAAGTGGAGCTCAATTAGTGCACTCAGCCGAGCTGGACTCGCTGCGGCTGAAATGACAGGGTTTCGGTCGAGCCACCTGCGGTCCACCGGCAGTTAGATCAGCCAGGGGTGACCAGCACGGCATCGGCCAATCTGTCTACACGTGACGCTCAAATAAAACGAGCATAACACGGACGACGTGTTGCAGACACGGTTCAAGAGAAGGGTAGCGCAGCAGCCGAGTTGAAAGTTCCCTGCAAGTTTGGCATGTATTTGGTTGGCAATTTGTATTTGTATTTAGAAGTCGTAAACAATGTATTTGGTAGTTGCGCCAGCCGCATCTCACATCAGTTATCTCCAGTTCTCGTCAAACATCAGGGAAGCTGGACAAAGTTTCAAGTGAATGAAAGCTTACTGAATCTCAAAAGAGTGTCATGAACAGCATTTCAACAACGTCAAGCCTTGGTCACCATATACCCTCGCTTATGTAGGAAGCTCGGCGTGAAAATGCATCCGTCCAACATCATACCCACATCTGATTGCATTCCTGGATCGGCACGTGTAACCGATAGACGATCGCATGTCTTCATAGGATGAGCTGTTTCCCGTCGTGAAAACACAGGAGCACAGACCCACGGGCAGCGAGCACGGGAGCACGGACCCACGGGAAGCGAGCACAGGAGCACAGATGCACAGGCAGCCAGCACAGGAGCACAGATGTTCAGACAGCGAGCACAGGAGCCCAGACGCACGGACAGCGGGCACAGGAGAACAGGCGCACAGGCAGCGAGCGCGCGCGCATTGTACGGGCCTCCTCGCTCAAGTGCCACCGTCTTAAACAAAAAGCAGCTGAACACAAAAGGACCATAGTCCTGGCGTCAACGGCGCAGGCGCCTCGAGAGCGCGGACCGCCACGGACCACCCGACGCCCCAAACACAGGCATCCGCCTCACACAGCGCCGAAAACAAAGCGGCCGGCCGGCGCCCGGCGTGGCCGCCTCGGCCGCCGGGCCGGACCGGACCGGGCCGGGTCGCCTACAATGCCGGACCGGCGCCGCGGGCACAATACGGCCCGGCACACCATGACCGTGCCGGCGGGGAGGGGGAGGGGCAGGGGCGGCCGTGACCGGCGGCGGCGCATCTAACGGCGCCGCTGCCGGCAGCGCGCGGCCGCGTCAGCACGCGACGATACGGGCATTGCCGCTGCAACAAACGACTCGCTTCCGGGCCCGTGTAAATGATAATGGTACTTAGTGGCGACGGCAGCCGGACGGGAGCGCGGTGCGCGGGTGCTCGGCGCAGGATCACAGCGCCAAGGTGGGGCTGGCGGGGGAGTCCAGGTCACCGTGGAGGTCGCAGGGGGCCGCCATACGTCCCGCGTCGGCCGATGCATGAATTGAAGCGGGTGGGGTAGCATCCTGCAAACGGGTCGGGGTGTGGCGTCGCGTGTCAACGATTTCAGCACGCCAGATTTATTTTGTTCTGAAAAGAGAGGAAAGGTGCTCGCTGGCGAAAACGCCAGCAGACGACACGTATTCCAATCGCGTTGCACATAATTTCCGGTTGGAATGGCCTATGGTCTCACCGATGCGGCGGTGGCGTGAGCCTGGCACCAGCCGCCGGTGGGGCTGGTGCCGGCGCGGCGCGGCGCTGTGGTTCATGGCTCCATATACCGCGGGATCTGTCACCCGGCATGTCATTAGCGGGGATGATACGCGAAATACGCGCTGACAAGTGACGCGTCACTTATAGAGACAGCGCGATACATGTTCAGCACGGACCCGAACCGGGCCGACCCTCGCCGAGCGGCACGACCCCGATGACTGGGCAGAGGCACGCCCAGGGATCGTGCCCAGGTGGACACCATTCGAGCTGACCGAAACTGCGCCACATCGCAGAACAGCGCCGTGGCATCTGTCAAGCCCTGATCACTCATGCTCTCATGAGGAAATCGGGAGCCGTAGTGGGAGCCTAGCTGTAACAATTCCCTGAGTGCGCCCCTGTATCGTGCTGGAACACATGTGTGCCTCACGTGTACTTGACGACCTCGGCACGCGCGCTTCAGCAGAAGCCACACGGCTCGGAAAGAGTGGCTCATCAACCGCCCACTCTGCGCACTTCACTCCCTCCCCGTCCGACGACACAATCCCGCCTTTGCACGTTTTGGTCGCAGGTGTCCGGGAGACACGTCAGCCACGGATACGCGACTCCAAGACAGCGTTTGTGTGAATGATACCACCTGCTTGCGACTGACCAAAACTGATGTGGTCTTCGTTCGAACAAACCGATGGGCCCACTTGAATTCCAGCTGGTTCACGGGCTCTAAAATCTGGATGACGAATTTAGCACAATCAAGGTGGGAAACCAACCCAGTACCGTGATGGACCACGATGGAATACATGAGTGTCCCACGTTCGTAAATTACATCCATGCATTTTTTTCTAAGGGACGGAATGAAATCATTGGGTGAAAAATATCGATACAGAAAAGGAGGCCACTACGAGGATGAACAAGAACCCAGGGTGTCCTTTGACAGCAGACCTATCGCTGCGCAAGTTTCGTTCGCGTTATAAGCGCCTTGCAAGATGATCGAGATACCAGCGACGCCAAGGCCCTGGCAACATGACTACATTGCGGTGTCAGAGTAACCATCATCGGGGTTATTTTCCAATCGATAGCAGACCACCCGCTGATATTCGCAGGAGTCTCCCAAACAGCAGACGACCTGGACCAACTACACTTACAAAAGCCGTAGAGCATTAAGTGCTCACATCGCCGTATCGCCGTCAAATTTTGATGACGTGAGGAAAGCTAACGACATTCCTGCTGTATTGCGTTACAAACTGGGACTCGTGCGCACGAATATTCCATCTCTGACGAGCTCTTGCTTAGATTAACTCCGTCCTGATTTGCGGGCGGTGGTGAGCGCAGCTCCAGACGTGGCATGCTCCGCGTGCACCATCGAGCCCGCTCCGCGACTGCCCAGGGGAGCGCCCGTATCAGTTACCCGGGGACGCGCCGGTCGGGCGCGTTTTTACCGGCGCGGGGAGGGGGCCCACGGGGCGAGAGTGCAGCTTGCGGTGTAATCCCGCCGAACACCGGCCGGCGCGGCTCAACGCGCGCCGTCCGACCAGCGTTGAGGGGCTTCTGATACCGGCCTGGGAGGCGGCCGGCAGAGCCGCGGCGGCGCTGAAGCCGAGGCTGCGCACAGCTCGCAGACACGTGGCCTGGCGCGGATGCCTGGCAAGTTGGCGAGTATGCCTCGTTTTCTGGCGCCGCACTGCCCTACCTCAAGAATGGTTTCGATCCCCTTTGCTTATCTCGCTGCGGTGCATTATATTTATTAATGACAGTAATCGGTGTTGAAGTTTTGAATTGCCTAATTGTCCGTGAAGTGCCATGCACCACCGGAACTTGGGAGAAAGGATCACGGACGGAAGAAAAGACCTCCCGCTTCCTCAGCGCAAGACTCTCATCCCCACTTAAATCATAACTAGCATGCACGCTTTTCTTTCAACAAGTTTCCATCGTCTTTCCTCGCCAGCAGCCGCAGTTCACTCCGTTCGCCTTAGCCCGCTGCTGGGCGCCGCCCAGTGGCTACCGCGCCGCTGAGCCGGACCTGGGCCGCCCCGCCGCAGCCACAGCCGGCCCCGCTCCCAGGCCGACCCTCGTGACGGCTCCCGCGCGAGCGCGACATCGCCGCCGACGAGTCGTGCCAGCGCCGGCGGGGGTCCGCCGCCCGCCTGCACGACCCCGCCACGGCCCGCAGCGCCCCGAGGCTGGGAGCGGGCGCGCGCCCGCGACTGAGCAACAGGGTCACACCGGCTGCTCCGCTGGGAAGTCGGCTGGACGGGCGCCTTCTCGGATGTGGTGGAGTTTGATTCAGGGGCTCGGCCGACTGTAAAACCTTTTTTTCTGGGTGGGGTGGGCCAGTGTTCGGTCTACAGAAGCCGTATTCTGTCTGGGATCCCTTCGCCGTCTATCTGGGACTGCGCGCACCAAAAGCACACATTCCCATTGCGTCCTCCCATTTCATCTTTCCCGAAAGGAGCTTTCATCTTTCTAAAAAGGAGATATTATACCAAGAGCAGTTCCCAGACCCAACACATCTTAACGAGCAAAATGTTACCATTTAGGGTTTCTTTTCGGGTCGTAACATTGTGAGCCAAAACGCTGTCACAGTACAACCACTGCCGTATTGTCTTGTCACTTCTTGGATCATGTTTTTAGTGCACACCTTGTACAATTTTTGCACAGCAGAGAGGAAAGTCCTAGCGAAGAGCAGACACCAAATATTCATTGAGATTATCAGAATTTATGGGCATCAATGAAAACCGTTTTTCGGTGGGCTAAATTCAAAATCTTTGCAGGTGGATTGCCCCATCCTGCAGCGGATTCCATCACCAGTTGTACCAGTTACGAATATCGCAAGAATGACCACGCTAGGCCATTTTAAAGAGTATATCATTTCCAGTGGGAGTTAACCTTTCGAGCGAGGTAGGTAGACCAAGGCTCATCCCTACCTCCCTGTTCCTACACCTATGTTGCTCGCGCAGAGGCACCCACGCGTGGCCTGGGGAAGCCCCCTTGAACTGGGTTAACTCCGACCTGCATAGCTTCGGCCGACT